CATTCCTGGTGGAGGTGGCAATTTAAGTTTCTTGACTTACCTGATTCTGTGGTAATTTTGCTCACACTGACATCCATCTATGGATGAAAATGGAAAGGGAGGTTTTTAGAGTTAAAGAAAATTGGCTTTTCATTAATAATTCAAACCTTCAACATGGTGACGATACATATGGATGTACATCATGAAGTGTTATGTTCTTGATAGTGAATTACACTTTCTGTTCCCTTCCTTTTTGGGAGTTTCAAATGACAAAATCATTTGCTCTCTTTCATCATTTGCTCTCTTTTTTTTGAGAGGTTTTTGCCATAGGGCACATGGGCTTGCCAGATAGACAGAGAGAGACAGAGGGACAAAAAAGCAAGAAATCACCCCCTGGGGGGATGGCCACACTGCAATCCCTTCTCCTCTGTTCTCCTCTCGGGATGTTAGGCCCACGTGCACACACGCCCAGCGTGAGTTTTAAGCCACCGGGTCCGGGACTCAAACTGCGGTCGACTACATGGGAGTCCAGCAACATAGCCATTACGCTAACTGCTGGTCCCATCATCATTTGCTCTCTAGTTTCATGAATTCAGTATCTTAAAAATAATTTTATTTCTTTCCATATCCAAGTTCAGAGCGAGCCCTAGTGTCATGCATGTTAATAACAATTTGCATAGAGAAGTTTAGACCAGGCCCATAATTCATAGATTTGATAGATATATTCCTAGATCAGGCTCACCTTAGCTTTCTGTTTATTATAATTCCTTCATTGTCTTCTATGTGTAATAAATATTGCTTGTCTGTAACTTTCCAGGCAGTGTTCTAGGTGCTTTGGTGATATTAATGTATGAGGAAGACCCTTGACCCAGTAGAACTCATATTTTAGTACTTGTCTGAACTGTTCTGAAGGATTGCTTCTTTTCCTCCACATAGACAGTGGATTTATTAAAATTAGCTGCCACCTGAAGTACCAAGTTTCTTCATAGTGCCTTATATTCAAGGGGAAGAAGAAAACGTTCTTTATTCCAGGGAAAAGAGCTTTTTGTGTCTGTGTGGCTAAGGGTTCTGTAAGAATAGGCCAGTATGATATGGCACACTTTCTCTATTTTGTAAAAGATGAAAGTTTGAAGATACTAAAAATATGGCGGTTTCAGAGACAGATAAGTGGGTGAAGGAAGAAATATTTAAAGACTAACTATTTGAAGCTTTCCTTGCCTTGTGCCTCAGTGAGGAGAGAGGGGGAAAGCAGCCACCAAATGACTAAGGCCGCAATTGTAGTGTGGGTGCTTTTCAAATAGGCAGGGTATATGGAAGCATAGCAAGAGCACGGAAGGGCTAAATAGGAAAGAACCCTGTTATGATATTTTAAAATGCTGGTTATTAAAATGGTGACAGGTTTGAAAGAGTCTTTTCAGTTTTATTTTTTGATTGTAGTTCAATTTGGTATTTTGCAGATGCTCTGCCTACTCCCTCAGAAAATAGCCCATCTCTGCAGACAAATGTGAGTTTGGACAAGACATCAGATGGTACCATTACAAATACTGTAATAGAAAACCCCTCGCAAACACCTCTAGAAAAGCAATTGGCTGCAAAAAGTTGTGAAACATTGACAACTTTACCAGCACTTTGGCCATTGAGTAAAGAGGAGTTTATGAACACTCATTTAAGGATATCGAAGTCAGATTCTACTTTCTCTAACCACGCCTCTGTAGAGACACTCTATGTCTCTCCCTCATTCAAAACATTTGACCCAGCAAAGGAGACTCCTGTCAATAAGAACCATCAGAAACCAACACAGCCCAGCATTGTTCAGAAGAATGATGAAAACTTCAAGACCTTAACCACATGGGGTGAGTCTCATTTAAAAAAACAATAGTGACAAAACAAAACAAAACACCTCTTTTAAAACATATTTCTTTTACTTTTATCTTCATTCTGTCTCTTTTTGTTCTTTTCACTCTTCATCAGTGATATTAAAATGTCCATACTATAGAGGTACTTCTCAGTTGGGAAAGTGCCCTTTTTATTAAAGAGCTTGTAGATAATTCATCATTGAGTTAGAAGTGCTTGGTTGAATATATTACCATAAATTGTGAGCAGTTTTGGTACAAGTCAAATTAGAAGAACGTAGCATTAAATAAGAACTTCCTGATAGACGTTTAGGTTAGTTATTAAGACAATATATAAAAAAGAATCAGCCATTATGTATTTTGATGTGTACATATCAATACATAAACCCATGCAACCTTTTTTTAAAAAGGGTTGTGTACTGCTTGCATAAAAGAGGCAGGAGTTCTCGTCCTTTCACTGTCTTTGTAAAACATTAAGAGGGTTACAGTATTATTTAGACTGAGTAATAAAGGATAAAGCCAGTTGAGAATCCAGGTTGTTGGCTGTCAGTTATTAAATCTACATTGTATAATTATGATTTCTTCTTTAAATTTAGTTAGTAAAAGAATAATTTGTTCATGCATTTTTCAAAGACTATGTAGTAGTTTTATTGGGTTTATGATTAATAATGCTTGTTGACTTATATAAATACAAAGCTTTTTAGTATAAATCTTTTAAACTGCCTCAAATGCAGATTAAAAATACATGTAAATAGGGACCTACAGATGGCATAATGGTTATGCTGCTGGACTCTTAGATAGTCAACCACGGTTAGAATCCCATACCCAGAGGCTTGAAAATCACACTGGGGGGGGACCAGCAGTTAGCGTAATGGCTGTGTCGCTGGACTCCCATGTAGTCAACTGCGGTTCGAGTCCCGGACCCAGTGACTTAAAACTCACGCCGGGCACTTGTGCGTGCGTGCCAAAGATCCCGAGAGGAGAATGGAGGAGAAGGGATTGTGGCGTGGCCATCCCCTCTGGGGGATGATTTCTTGCTTTCTGTCTCTCTCTTTCTCTCTGTCTGTCTGGTGAGCCCATGTGCCCTATAGCAAAAACCTCTCCAAAGGAAAAAAAAAGAAAAAAGAAAAAGATAATCACACTGGGTGCACGTGCATGCATTCCCCAAATCCTGAGAAGGTAATGAAGAAGAAGGGATTGCAGAGTGACCATCCCCCAGGGGAATGATTTCTCGTTCAGAGCTGTCCCACTTGCTCAGGACCCTGAAGCCCGAGGGGAACATCCTCTGGGACTAGTTCAAGAGCTTCCAGAGGAGGAACATGATCGAGGCTCAAGGGAGAGCCAAGTTCAAGCACTAGTACAAAATGAAGCTGTGGAGACACACCAGCATCACTCAGCATGATGGGAAATAGGGAAGATAATGAGTGTCTGTTTTCTGGTTTTAAGTATTTGTTTATACGAACAGTTCAGATCTGATGTTATAAACTCATTGGAGATAATGAGCTGAGCAAATTAAAAATACTTGCACACTCCTTCTATAGTGGATCTTGACGATCAGGGAAGCTGTCTAAGGAAGCCTAATACACCTTAATATTTTACTGACTGAGAGGGACAGATTCGCTGTAGCAACCTCGTTTGACCTCATTTGACCTTTTGATAAATCTCTTCCTGGAATCACTCATTCTTTCTCCTCAGTTTGAATTTTAAGTTATCTATAGCTCAAACTACCCTCTAAAGTCATTAGATATTTGATCATGCACACAAAAAATAAAAAAACAGAGCCAGTAGATGTGGTGGCATTATATTCTCGTAAGACACAGTTCTAGTCAGTATGTTCGACTGCACTAGATTTTTTTTTTTGAAATTTGTTCTCCATTTTCTCATGTTGGATAGTGGTAGACTTTCTTGCTGGTTTCTTCCTTTGTTTCTGTCTCATCGGTTTTGTTTTTTTCACTATGGACTTTAGTAGTTGTTCTGCAAGGCTATTTTTCACTTCACCTTTGCTAGACAAAGAAACTATGACATGTACCAAAAGGACCATCACCCATGCCATTTTCCTTTTTGTCTATAAAAGGCTTCAGAGCCAGGACAATTTCCCTAAAAGAAATGAGAAAAAATTATAGAAAACAGTTCTACTCAGTATCCCAGCTAACCCTAAGTTACTGGTTAGGCTGCTTCAGAAGCCTCAGGCAGCAGTACTGAGGGAGCCCTCAGTAACTCTTAGCTGCACAGCTCCTTCCTACTGTTGTGCCTGCCAAGAAAAAAAAGAAAATACTGATTTTAAAGAAAAAAAATTTTTGAGAGGTTTTCGCTATAGGGCACATTCGCTCACCAGCCAGACAGAGAGAGACAGAGAGACAGAAAGCGAGAAATCACCCCCCAGGGAGGATGGCCACGCTGCAATCCCTTCTCCTCTATTCTCCTCTCGGGATCTTGGGCACACATGCACACATCCGGCGTAAGTTTAAGCCACTGGATCCAGGACTTGAACCACATTTGACTGCATGGGAGTTCAGCAACATAGCATTACTCCAACTGCTGGTCCCCTCATTGTGGTTCTTAAGCCATCAGGACTGGAACTCTAGCTGCATTCTCGGCCATGTGGGATCCAGCTCCCTTAACCCCTAGGCCCCAGGGCTAGCTTTAACATAAGTGATCTAGAGGTTTCCTAAATCTATTTTATGTAGCTTATTTATAATAAAGACATTAAAATCAAGGGAGAGCCAAGTTCAAGCACTAGTACAAAATGAAGCTGTGGAGACACACCAGCATCACTCAGCATGATGGGAAATAGGGAAGATAATGAGTGTCTGTTTTCTGGTTTTAAGTATTTGTTTATACGAACAGTTCAGATCTGATGTTATAAACTCATTGGAGATAATGAGCTGAGCAAATTAAAAATACTTGCACACTCCTTCTATAGTGGATCTTGACGATCAGGGAAGCTGTCTAAGGAAGCCTAATACACCTTAATATTTTACTGACTGAGAGGGACAGATTCGCTGTAGCAACCTCGTTTGACCTCATTTGACCTTTTGATAAATCTCTTCCTGGAATCACTCATTCTTTCTCCTCAGTTTGAATTTTAAGTTATCTATAGCTCAAACTACCCTCTAAAGTCATTAGATATTTGATCATGCACACAAAAAATAAAAAAACAGAGCCAGTAGATGTGGTGGCATTATATTCTCGTAAGACACAGTTCTAGTCAGTATGTTCGACTGCACTAGATTTTTTTTTTTGAAATTTGTTCTCCATTTTCTCATGTTGGATAGTGGTAGACTTTCTTGCTGGTTTCTTCCTTTGTTTCTGTCTCATCGGTTTTGTTTTTTTCACTATGGACTTTAGTAGTTGTTCTGCAAGGCTATTTTTCACTTCACCTTTGCTAGACAAAGAAACTATGACATGTACCAAAAGGACCATCACCCATGCCATTTTCCTTTTTGTCTATAAAAGGCTTCAGAGCCAGGACAATTTCCCTAAAAGAAATGAGAAAAAATTATAGAAAACAGTTCTACTCAGTATCCCAGCTACCCCTAAGTTACTGGTTAGGCTGCTTCAGAAGCCTCAGGCAGCAGTACTGAGGGAGCCCTCAGTAACTCTTAGCTGCACAGCTCCTTCCTACTGTTGTGCCTGCCAAGAAAAAAAAGAAAATACTGATTTTAAAGAAAAAAAATTTTTGAGAGGTTTTCGCTATAGGGCACATTCGCTCACCAGCCAGACAGAGAGAGACAGAGAGACAGAAAGCGAGAAATCACCCCCCAGGGAGGATGGCCACGCTGCAATCCCTTCTCCTCTATTCTCCTCTCGGGATCTTGGGCACACATGCACACATCCGGCGTAAGTTTAAGCCACTGGATCCAGGACTTGAACCACATTTGACTGCATGGGAGTTCAGCAACATAGCATTACTCCAACTGCTGGTCCCCTCATTGTGGTTCTTAAGCCATCAGGACTGGAACTCTAGCTGCATTCTCGGCCATGTGGGATCCAGCTCCCTTAACCCCTAGGCCCCAGGGCTAGCTTTAACATAAGTGATCTAGAGGTTTCCTAAATCTATTTTATGTAGCTTATTTATAATAAAGACATTAAAATAAATTTTAAATGGTATAGTTTGTTAAGAAATTGAGGTCTAATCAATATACCATAAGATGTACCCTTTTAAAGTGTATGATTGAGTAGCTTTTGGTATATTCTCAGAGTTGTGTGACCATCACCACTAATTCAGAACTATTTTCATCACCCCAGAAAGTCCTATACCTATTAGCAGTCACTCGCCATTCTTTCTTCCCCCGACTCCTGGCAACCACTAATCTCCTTTTCTGTCTCCATGTATTTGCCTGTTCTGGGTATTGCATATAAATGGAATAATATAATATATGTCTTTTGTGTCTGGCTTCTTTTACTTTGCATAATATTTTCAAGCTTCATTCATGTTGTAGCTTATATCAGTACTTCATTTCTTTCTGACTGAATAATATTCATTGTAAAGATAACACACATTTTATTTATTCACTCATCAGTTGATGGACATTTGGATTGTTTCTACATTTTGACTCTTAGGAATAATTCTGCTGTGAACATTGTGTAAAATGTTACATTTTTAACCAAAGAACAAAATCAGAATATTTTAATTTGTGTGTATAGTTAACTTGACTGCCATTGTGTATCACCCAGGAATACTGAATGAGATGAACTAGAGAATACAAAAAAAAAGTGAACTATTGGATTTTTGGAAAAGCCATGATTCATTTTTGCATGGAAGATACATCCAAACTTTTCCAACAACCAAGTGTTTAGTTGACCAAAGACCTTCTGCTTACAGAAAAAAAATGAACATTTAACAATTCATAAGGGTTTTTTTAAATATTTCTAGAAATGTACTTGTCATTTTATTTTTGTAGCATAGTTCTTCTAAATGTGCTTTTTTTTTTTTTTTTAAAGAGAGATTTTTTGCTATAAGGTCTGTTCGCTCATCAGAGAGAGAGACAGAAAGCGAG